GGCATACAGTGCTGCACGGAACAGGCATACAGTGCTGCACGGAACAGGCATACAGTGCTGCACGTTCTCTGCGGCAGCAGCGGTGACGATGACGGAAGCCGATGGGAGTGATTTCTTGGACGCGTGTCCTTCAGAGTTTCTGCTTGTCCCATTTTCATTCCAGGGATTCTGCAGTGCATTCGACTTGCACCGTCCTCGGAAAAGAGCCTGACACCAAGGAACCATTGGTGATTCATCCTCAGGAATCGAGCATGATAAGGATAACGACGATGATGATGAACGGGATTTCCCTTTGTCCGCATGAAAAAAAAAAGCTAATGAACTCCTGATATCGATTACAATACAGTTTTGCGGCGCGCGGCGAATATGCGCCCCCAGCTCTCGACCCCGAATCTAACAGCGTCAACGTCGTGAAATCATGACCGAGCCTGACGATCAAAGATCACAACGCGATCAGCAAATCGTCGACCAGCGCCAGAAAAAAACCCCACACGTTACCTCATCAGAGGGGTATTCAGATGATCTCAGATCCCATGCAACGAATCGACCTCCTCCGCGCCCTCCTCGTTCTCCATCAGCCCGTCCGCCTCCGCCACGCGCGGATGCGGCAAGCTCCCCGACCCACCTCCGCCGCCGCCGCCGCTTCCTCTCCGCCATCGCGCGAGCCAGTTCGTGCTCCCCCTCGACTCCTCTCCGTCGGCGCGCCGCGGGAGCGGGGTCGGCGGCGGGCGCGGGCGCGCGGGCGGGAGCTCGGCGATGGCCGCGTGCGCGGCGGGCGCGGGCGGGACGTTGAGCCCGTGCAGGCCGTAATCGAACTCGTCGTCGTCGTCCGGCTGCCGTTGCTGTTGCGTCGCCGTACTCGACCTCGCCCCTGCCCCTCCTGCGCCCGCGAGCGCGGCCATGTCCAGCAGCGGTATATCGCTCGGCCGGATCCGGGGCGAGGCCGTGTGCTCGAGGTAAGACGGGAGCTGCTCGCTCGGCGCGAGCGAGATCGAGTCGCCGTCGCGGTCGCCGTCGCGTTGCGGGCGGAGGTCGGGCGAGAGCAGGGTGATGAGCGGCGGGGGCGATCGGGCGGAGGACGGGCGCGCGGACTCGGCGTAGGGCGGGGGCGCGGCGGGCACCGTGCCCGGGAAATAGCGCGGCACGAACGGGACCGGGCCGCTCATCGCCCTCCCTCCCACACCCGCACCCGCACCCGCACCCGCACCCGCTGGAGTCGTCGTACGCGGGGCGGCGGGGCCGGGGGCGGCAGAAAAAGACGTCGAGGTGTGGTTGGACGTGGAGGCGCCGTCGGGCTCGCCGGCGTGGTCGCGGGCCCATTGCCGGTCGCGTTTGCGGGCGCGGGCGCGGCGGCGGATGATCGAGGCGGCGATGCAGAGCGCGGCGAGGGCGAGGAAGCCGATGGCGCCGCCGACGGCGCCGGCGAAGGTCGCGATGTTGTGCGGTTTGGCCGGGGAGGGCGACGTGGACATGGCGCTTGCGGATGGTGACGGTGAGGGGCTAGACAATGATAGAGAGAGAGAGAGGGCGTCAGCGCGGTTCGGTTAAAGGGTGATGATATGGGCAGATAGAAGAGAAGGAGGGCGAATATGAATGAAGGCCCCCCAATCAGGGGCGGCGGGAGAGGAGATGAAGGGCGGAGGGCCAATGGGGCGTCGAGGGCGATGCCAATGTCCATTGAGTGCTCGCAGGACGAGAGAAGAGAGAGGAGAAAAGCAAGGGAGGGAAACGCCGAAGATGAGTCGAAGTAAAGACACGTACGCCGTCTGATTGGCCGCCAAGCCGCTCGGCGGCGTCACCTGCTTACCCCCCTCCCCTCGCGTGGCGGCGGTGTACACGACGCTGTCCAGCAAAAACACGGAATCGGGGCCGACGTCGATCCGGAGCGTGTGAGCGGAGTCCGAGGGGAGAGAGGGGAGGGCGAGCACGGCCTGGGCGAGGAAGCCGGTGGCGTACGCGGACCCGGAGTGGGCGAAGGTGGCGAGGGGGTAAGGGGCGGCGTCGAGGGTGAAGGTGAGGTTGGTGAAGGTCGGCGTGGAGTTGGTGTGCGAGAGGCCGAGGGGAAGGACGGCGAAGACGTAGAGGGCCGAGCCTGCAGGTAAAATAAAAAATTAAAATAAAATAAAAATCGGGAAGGGGGGGATTTTTTGAGTTTTATGAAGGTAGGGGGGAATGGGGATGGCGCGTGCGTACCGGTGAAATTGACCTCGACGAAGACGGGCTCGTCGACGAATTGGGGGTCGTCGTCGTCGAACTTGCCGATTTCGAACGGGTTGTCGTCGTCCCGCTTCTTCTTCTTTCCTTGTCCTTCCCTCCTCGCTGCCGCCGCCGCCGCCGACGCTCTCCTGCTTCCCATGATCATCGTCGCCCCCCTCCTCCTCCTCCTCCCGTTTTTATCGTCGTCGTCGGCGTCGGAGGTCGGGATGACGTGCAGCCCAAAGTGCCAGGTCCGGTTGCGGGCGATGGACGGCGTGGAGGGCGCGAGGCACGGGGCGCAGCTGGACCCGTTGGGCCAGGCCGAGTTGGGGAACCAGTTGGCCGGGGGGTGGTAGGCGATCAGCGGGGAGGTGTCGTCGAGGGTGACGTTCCCCGCGGTCGCTCCCGCCTCTGCCGCCGTCGCGGGGGAGGGGGAAGAGGAAGAGGAAGAGAAGAGGAGGGCGAGCGCGAGGAACGTCGCCCGGCGCTGTCGGGTGCTGTTTCACCACGATCGTTTAGCGTTAGCGGAAATTGGCCGAACGACTATAGCCGAAGCGCACCTCAACATGATCGATATTCAGGAGCGGGCGGTTCGGTACTGCAGCCAAGAGCACGATTCGAGCGGCGCAACGGTTCGAGTTCGAGGGGGTGGGGAGGGGGCCGGGAGGGAGAAAGAGAGCAGCGGCAAGGGCGCCCGTGCGAGGAATGGCTTAAAGGACACGGAAAGGTGGGCAACACATGCGCGCGCTTCCCATGGCCGGCCGGGATGGGAGTTGGGTATCGCCCTCCCCACCCATGCACAGCTGGGAGCGAGCACCGAGTCCGGGGTAGATCACGTGTGGGGCATGGGAGGCAACGCGTCTGCGGGTGGAACGGATTGCGTGAGACGGAGCGTGCGGGGAGGGAAAGGCGATCCAACGTACGGTGTAGCTGGATGGGGGGGGGGGGCAGGAGGAGCGCTTCGGGTGGCCGCTGTACCTCGAACGCTCCCCTGCGATACCGCTGGAAAGATTACTCGTCTGCGCTCTGCGTCGCTGCGAGGACCGGATGTTTCTCCCCCAGATCGGAATTGTGTGCTCGCCTCCCACCTGCGCGGGAAGGGTCCGGGCCCAAGGTCCGTCCTCTCAGCTCTTGCTAAGATAGGGTCACGTGTACATGACTGATCTAATCAGAGCTCGCCGCGATACTCTCTCTGTCGAGTT